TTTTCAAGTTTTCTTCAATTTAAAGGTAATTTTGTACGTGGCCAAAATAACTCAAAATACCGTGACTGAGCTCATTTAAACTGAGCAAGTCGTCACAACATTACGTTTATGTCGCAGTTAAGTTTTGGTCTTAGTGCTTTTTTTTTTTTATCTAACTGTAAGTGGTTCCTTGTCTTTCAGTTAGTTTGGTTAGTTCCGGGGGGGAGGTGAATCCCCATATAAAAAAGACGGGGGTGCTCGTCGGAAATTTTGAAAGAACTCCTATTAGAGGTAGCAAGATCCTGTTTTGTGGGCGTGGCTTGAAATATTTTTTGCCCCTAAGAGATACCAATTCTTACATAACACATTATCTCCTGTCATGTTGTTATGTTGCTATTATGTCATTATGCCAGGATGTTCAGACTGCAAACATAAAGCCATTATGTCCTTCTAGTGGCGTTATGTTTGCAGTCTGAACATCCTGGCATAATGACATAATAGCAACATAACAACATGAATATAACCGCAAAAGGAAAAAATATGGTCTTTTCCTTATGAGGTCAGGGGGTTTTACTTCTATTGTGATGAACTGAAGACGTGTTTTTCTTGGATTTTAGCTAACTGGTTTATTTTGAATAATTCAGTTCAATAATTCGAGTTCTTTAAGTCAATGCTTCAAGATGCTTTAGTTCGGACGGCCAAAATTTCTAAACAATTAAAAAAATCCTTAATTATTGCGCAACAAAGCTCGTGAAATTAAACTGCCGCTTAAAAATGCGGTGCCTATAATTTCTTGTCGGTAAACTCGATACCTTTTTCTTCCTGGCCTTGGAAACTCCGGTGGAATACCCTTAAAGTCTCCCTGATCGCCTTGAAAGGAAAGTGTAAAAGAAATATGCAGTGAAAATGTTAAGCTCACTTTGAAGAAATATCCCAATGTACTTAAAGACTAAAAACAGTTTTGTTAAGAAATTTTTAGCTCGACTTTTAACCAGGTTTTTCGTCAGTTAGACATTGTAAAGGTAACAGTTTTACCTGTAAAAGACAAACACAAATAAACAAGCAGGCAAACAGACAGACAGCAAGCCGGTCAGTAAGCCAGCTAGACAGACAGAAAGGCAGATAGACAGATAGACAGATAGATAGACAGACAGACAGACAGCCAGGCAGCCAGCTAGATAGATAAAGAAACCGAGCTAGCCAGCTAGCCGGCCAACCCGTTAGATAGACTGACAGCCACACGGGCAAACAGCAAGACAGAAAGACAGACACACAGACAAACAAAGAAGCTGCGGCACTGCGTTGCTGGTAAACTGAAACATTTGACTTTATTAAAAGTAAATTGAGTACAAACACGTGCCTCGAGTAGAAAGTGTGGGAAGTGCAAACCATTTTCCTAAAATATAAGTCCAAGAAAATGTGTGGAGTTTTACTGGCGTGCGATTTTACAACTTTGAAACGTGGTAATGTCACTTACCTAACACTTGAGAAGTTACGTCATCTAGATTCCTAAATATCAAATCGTAAATCTAGGTTACGCTACGATTTTCTTCAATTATTTGTAAACGTAATGAAATGAAGCTTTCAAAGCAGAATCAAAATATTTCTCTTCTACGAGCTTTCGGAGCCGTCAAGGCACTTTTTTCAAATGATGAAAAATGTCAAAAGTCACTTGATCTTTGATGACTTAACTCACGTGACAGAATGTCCAGGTACTGGACCGGAAGTTTAAAACCACGGTCTTGATTGAGGACTGGGACCTGGCACTGGATTTCAATGGCCTCTCGTTTCCTTCTTGTGCCGTGACAGCTCCGAAACTGTGTCGCAGTAGTTAATATTTAGATTCTGGTTTAGAATCGAAACTTAATTTAGGTATTCTTTCAACAGAATCGGGAAGCAACATTTTTGCTCGTATTTGTAAATGTCATTATTAAATATTGTTAAATTCAATATAATTGTTAACGACTAATGATCTGTAAAATGATTAAATACACTAGTCAGTTAAAAATTATATGGTTTGCCAAAAATTTGATCGAAGAGGTGTATCACGTGACTGGAAAGCAGTCATTCAATGTTGATAGGCAATTATGGTAAACATTTATGTATTCCTAGTGGGGCATGTACGCTCTAGGTAAGTATCGTTTGTTTATTTTGGAAAAAAATCTGTCATCAGCTCCGTGAGGTGCGCACGGTGATTTTTTCCTACCAAATTTTGTCAAGCATTACCAAGCTTAAAGCCGGCGTCCTGCTTTGGAGCAGGACAAATTTTGGTCAGACGTGAAGACTGAGAGATTTTTCAATTACGCGACATGATCAGAAGGAAAACGTCAATCAAGTGAATCTGATCTGGCTTTTCAGATCAAGGAGTCTCAATTTCCATGTGATTGACACTTCGCAGTTAACGAATATTTTTTTACGGTTTAGAGTGCGCCCACGATTACGAAGTTGAAAATTTGACGAAGACAATTGTCGTCGAGATTTTTGGTAGAGCCAAACAAATTTTGTCAGCCTAGTGCGTACGGGCCCTTATTGCATTATTTCGCATGTTTTTGTTTAGTGTTGGCAAAGGAATCACTCTGTACAGTAGCAAAAGAAGAATTTACACTGAGCAAGAATTTTATAAGATAGAGATACAGAAGTCAATGCCCGTGTTATAAAAGATCTAATAACATACCACTCATTCAGTGGACTTGATTCGTAGCTTGAATCTTCTGCATTACATAAGAAAAAAAAAAAAATCCATGAAAACCCAGCATACATATTGCACGGTCTTTAACATGCAAATATATAACCACTGGCAATAAACCTTTCCTTAGTATTTTATTAAAGCCTCATACAATTTGCAGCACGAGCTTGAAATAACAGGGCCTTTCCCTCTTTCCAGCTCCCCCCAATAGCTCTCATCCTAATTTATATAAGTAGCGACATTTAAGTGACATTAATTTTAAAAAATGGCATGGAAAAAGATTTAAGAGAGTTGCACTTCACAAGCAAGTGTGAGTGCGTGGCTGTCTCATAATATTCACATTTCACATTTCACAATAAAATGAAGTTTTTTTAGCGTGAAACCATTAAACGTGTGTTGAACGTACATCTTGATAATCATTTTTTATAGCCTCAAACAAGAAAGAGAAAAAGAAAAAAACCTTCATAACGATCTTCGGACAAGTTTGTGTCATCTGCAAGAGACGTTAAAACAAACATCATTACCTGGATGATCAAATTAATTATAACAGCTACATTATGAGCTCGAGATTTGTATGAGGTGATAGCTGATGAAGCCGAAGGCTGAAATTGATTGTCCTAGAAGAATTTTAATTAATTTTCTTAAATAATAATTTCCATTTTTTCCTCTACAGTTTATCTAGCATTACATTTCACTCTTTAGAGAAAACACTTGCAGACTGAATAGCAGCTGAAGCTAGCTGCGTATTTGTGCTCATCAGCACTTTTAAGCATTTAAATTCTCGTAATGGTCAATATTTTCTCCTCTCTGTCTTCATGGGAATTAAATCATTAATTAACTCAACAAAGTTTCTACATTGTGCTCCAAAAATTCGGAGAAACGAGAAAACGTCACTATTTTGTTGACCACCTCGAGTCACAACACATGTACTTTAATGGCTGATAGTGTGCGATAGCTCAGCCAATCAAATTGCAGCATTTACATTAGTGTCTAAGTAGAATTCTATTTATTCCATTATTGTTCAACATCAGTAGAAAATTGGTAAGATTTAATCAGTTCGTGATGCAAGCTACGTAGAAAAAGAATTACCAAAGACTAATGGGAGTTAGGCAATTTACTGGGTTCAGATGTAGAAAATGTATTGCAAAATGCTAGGATTACTAATGGTTCCTTTTTTTCGATCCCAACGGTTTCATGGTGTTGTGTTCTTGGGAAAGAATCTACCTTAAAACTCACAGTGCCTTTATCCAGCAAGTAACATTAATTAGTGGCAGTGGAATGTTTAGACAACCCATCATTATATTGGAAGGTCACTCCTGAGATGGACTGGCAATATGGCATCCTAGTTCCTTAGAAGTCGCTTCATTGTATGGAAGATAGGATAACCTCAGGTTTGGAGACAACTTTTCCTCGATTGCACATTAAGCCTTTTAGAGATTAAAGTCGGATAAATTTTCAAAGCCTAGTCAATATAAAAAAAATGGTTTTGGGAAAAATTTCCATGTGATATACAACTTTTAATATTAGGCATTTTTTTTGTTAGTTTCGTGCCCATTTTACGTAAAGTTAAAAGCTCGTTGCTTGACCTTTTTTCCCAGGCCTCCATTGATTAGTGGATTGGGGGTCCCTTTTTGTAGAAGCTGCAATTAAATTAAAATAAATATTCAAAATATTGTTCTTACAATATTATTTCGCAGCAAAGATCAGTTTTGAAATTACATACAACACAGAGCGGATACGAAAACTAGGAATACTATTATTGATAAATAGCAAAATATTACGCACCGAACTAAATGGCCAATTCCCTCTGTGAGATGTGCCTGCAGGGAATCATGGTAGTTGTACTCAGAATCTTGGACTGGATATTTGTTTTGATGAATACAACTACCATCATTCCCGGCAGGCACATTTCATAGAGGGAAATGGCTATTAGAGCAATATCAAAAACTTAGCTGACTGCTGTTGACGAGAAAGGCCTTCTGTTAGCTTATTTTTTAGAGTGAACAGTCGAGGTATAATTCTCAAATGGTTATACCCGTCAACTGACAAATAGCAGTTTTTATAGGGCTGATTGCAATAGATTCCCCCACCCCACCGCCTCTTCAGTTGGAAGGCACCTCCTTCATCAGTACCCACAGTCTATCTTTGCCTTCGGTTTTGATTTTAAACTTACCGGCAACTGCAATTGTCGCTAAAAATCCAAGAATGACGACAATAACGAAGCTTCGCATGATGAAAAAATCCCTGAAAAGATGTAATACAAATTATAAGTTAAACTATAGCTCATAAAACTTCGGCAATATTTCCAGATATAGCTATCCACAACAGGAAACGTTTACGTACGAGAAGGGAACAAATACAGTATTTAAGAATCAATTTGGCACTGCAAAGGTTTATGAAAAACAGGAATAGAAATAAATGTCGATTTTTAGAAAGTTGAGATATCCCTAAAATTTCATGGCCCAGCTTTTCATTTTACTGAATTCTACAGAAGCCTTGAGTTGCGTTAGTGTCAAGGTTAGAGTCAGGCCACTAAACAGCAAACAGAGTAGACAGAACAAAAAAAGCAAAACCGATCAACTCAGCAGGGTTTATCTTAGAGCTTGGATTTTAACACGAAACTGAATCAGCAATGCAAAAACAAAAAGATGAAATGATAAAGAGCAAAACCAACAAACCCGGAAGACGAAGTGAATTATAAACAGAAACGTCAGTTATTGTTATTTGCAATATTTGGAAGTAAGTACCTTATTCTGTATTTCTCGAGAGAAAATATCTTAGTACTGGGTTTCAAAGAGCTAATAGTGAGCTGAATTATTCACACAATTCAATAATTGTCAATGGTCTCAGTCTTGACAAACACATGGATTAATGTCATAATTGAAATGTTTGTCCCATTAGCGATAAAGTCAAAAAGCATATTATCGGAATCATCTCTGCTGAAACTGTTCTTGATATCTCGATCAATATTGAGGTTTTTGATGTAATTTAGTTTATGGTGAAGAAATTGGAATTTGCTAAACGTGTACAGAATGAGGAAAAGCAGGCAATTTACTTAGGTAGAGAAGATTAACTAACACGTCAGTGATAAGCATGTGCTATGAACTCAAGATATGATCCGGTATTGCATGATCATCAGTCCTTTACGGTATAAAAAGCGTATCTTAACCACACACACAAAAAAAGAAAACTGAAGTGGCTTACAGGCAAAGCTAATATCAGACGTGGGATTCATTTGCCAATGGATTGCAACATGTTTTGGTTTTAAACATTCTTGAAATCGATCGAAAAGCCGAGACGTTTTAGCTTGGTCGTTTTATGAATTAAGTTTATCGTAAGATGTCATAAGTAAGATGAACAGTTTACGAATGTAGGAAAATGATATCTACACATCCACAGCCTTCAATGGAAAGAAATTCAAGTCTGAAGGCGTCTTATCATGTCATCAAGTTAGTTATCGATGTTTGACCCCTCGTGCAAATAACTGCAAGTCATGTTTACCCAGGCTTGTTCAATGAGGCTTTTCAGTCATTGAAGAATCATGAAGCTTCGTTCAGATCATCGAAGGAAGAAATTGGTTTGAAAAATGGCTTCAGCGTCAGTTCATTTGCCAGTTACACATGATCTCCATAAAATGATACGAAGTGGAGTAATTTTCTTGTAACTTTAAAATGAAATGTTTATAGTTCCTGTCATAATTTATCTACTCCCTTACATAGAGTTAACGTTTCCAAAGATAAATGCCGATAATAATTGCCAAAACAAGGAAACCCACTTGTAAGGATTAACGGATTTCAAGGCTCTAATTTTGATCGGTCCCTTCTCATTACTCTTTGATTTATTACTTCCTTGCCCAAATCAGTATTTCAAGTTCTACCTTTTCTTGCAGTTTAATTGAAAAGAAGGAGGTTTTGTGACCTCTCAAATTGTCAAACATTTTCAAAAATAAAAGAAAATGGAAACAGTTCTTAATAAATTGTTCATGACGATATTTAGGAGATGAATCTTTCAAAACTACATGGCCCGCGACTTGACAACAAAAGTCTTTTTTTCTTTTCATTTTCAATAACTATAAAGTTTGAAAAATATCTTTTGAGAAAATCTTGTTTCACAAAAACAGACACCCGACAGCAATAAAGTGCTCTTCAATCCGACTGACATCACTTAAAGTTTCAAAAGTTTTACATCCAAAGACATTTCTTTCTAAAAGCCGGTCAAGTGAAGCAATGTCAACTAGTTGACCAGAACAACTTATTACATGAGGGTGAAATACGTTTTACGTTCACGGTGTTTTAAGCCAAAGAATACCGATGAAAGAAGAAAAAAATCACTGTGCTTCCTTCTTGTTTGATTAGTATAAATTTCTCACGTGCTCAAAGTGTTTTACTTACCTTTTGTCAAAGTCAGTTTACCCTTCTGACACTCCAATCCACAGTACCTCTAAACTACTGTTCAGCCTCTTAAATAACCCCACAGATGGGAAACACGATAATTATAGCCTTCCAGCGGCATATCAGCATACACGGCTTCATTATTACTTCAAAGCCTCTCCAGAACTTTTTTACTTTTCATGCAAATTAAGGGAGATTTATGCCATGTCCGCCCCTGACTTCCGTTGGGCGACAATGTTGCCTTTGTTTGTGTCTTAAGGAAAAGAAAGTTATGAATGACAAAAGTCGTAAATCGTAATTACAGCAAGCGACAATCAACTTTTTCTCCGATGTGATAACTGTGTTGATTATACTGCCGGTAATTAGGAGAGCTGCCTGCGAGGCAGACTAACGCCGGAACGAAGAGCAGTGATTTTAAATTTGAAAGGTTTTTGTGACAATTCTGGCGCCTGACTTAATCCTGATGTGCGTGAGTTTTCCTAAGCGTCGATGCTGTCATCTGTGGGGTGTCTTCCTCCAAAATCTTATCTTCCTCAAGCTGATGAAAACTTATCTGTTGTATTCTAAGTTAATTAATTTGTAAATAAACGTGAATTATCGTGTGGCCGTTTCTTACAGACCTCGTTCTTCGAGAGATCTAACGACTACTGAAATAAAATCAACTTTAAGCCTTGGCTCTTTTGACATTGTCAATTGACTTTGAAAAAGTGAAATTATAAAGCCTGACAAGACAAAAATGTTTTCCTAAAAATTACAGTATTTTCAAAATGTGTAGTCCTCAAATTAAATACAACTTAAGTTTAATAATGTCGTAAAACTTCCTTGTAAAACATTTGACCTGGCATGCGTTATGTCACGTGAATTTCTTTTGTGGCATCTCTTCGCTTCACAGCAGGTAGTATTCTTATTAATTTAGAAGTTAATTGATTGTGAAGATCAAGAAATTACCCAGTTTAGAAATTTATTCTCGAAGTAATTGCTCGTTCAGATCTGAAATGAGACACCGCTTGTTACAACGCAATTTCCCAAGAGACCGCGTCTCAGTCACTACTTGTCAAAGATGATCCCTCTTGAGTAGAAAAGTATTTGTTGCGAATTGGGCGTCTTACAAACAGTGTCAATATGTTCTCGCTGCACGTTTCCGTAATTTAAAAATAAATCAGCTGACGATGAATTGAAGTATTTTTAAAACAAAAAACAATATTGTAACTACGCAGATAGCGACTTGAAATTAATCAGAAAGGGGCTTTCCTTAATTTTTAATGGCATGCCAGCGGGGTGCTGCAAATATATGGAATATATTGACGTCGATGCTATCTGCGATGAGCCTCGCGTGTTTATTGAAACACTTGACAACGTAAATAATAAAGTTTTATTTGACTTCCTTTCCCAGTTACGGATTCGTTTTTGAGATGTGGGTGGTGTTTTGACCATTTTTTTAAGCGTCAATAAGACACCACTCCATCCACTGAAATCGGAAATAACATGGCATATTTCGACAATCGTAAACGTCGAAACATTATTAAAATACGTATTTGAGCCATAGACACGATTTTTATGACACGCACAAGAAGATAAATAGTTAAAGTACAATAAACAGGAAAAATCGCCATTTTTCTGATTGTTTTTGCCTGTCAGAAAAGGGTTTATCCAACGATCACACAAAATGATTTATGACCATTTCATTCTAAAGCGATTATTAGGTAAATATCACGCAAATTCTCCTAACCAGTGTTCATTGATTTGTTTTAAAAGTGTTTGGGAGAATTTGTGGAACATAGCGAAAAAGTCCACTGGTTGATCATGCTTCGTACTTACTGTCAGAACAGTAAGTACAGTTACAGTTTTTTTTTATCCATCGATCACCCAAAATGATATGTGACCACTTCATTTTAAAGTCCTCTTTAGTTAAATATCACGTAAATTCTTCTAGCCAGTGTTCATTGATTTGTTGAGAGAAATTGAGGAACATAAAGAAAAACTAGGCTAGTTGATCATACTTCGTATTGTCAAGGTATAAATTGTCTTCTTCACAAGTTGTCGATAGTACAACGGGAGTGAACGAAATGTTTGATGACACATCTGTGGAAAAGGAGTAGATGGCTTGTCGACTTCATTTACAGGTCAGTCAAGACGCTGTGTATAATGTCAGGTTTAAAGATGCAATTGAAGATTAGAAAAAACCCACGAGCTTGCCACATCACAGACATACATAACGAGGGGGTGAAATGAGTGATCATCAACCTATTTAGTGCGCATGAACGAGTAAAAATGAATAATAGAATTTCACTCCTTGATCCTTAAGATGCCATACAAAGGAGAGGAGCAATTTTTTAAAACTGATGTTGAGCCATAAGGCTTTACTTTGAGTGTTGAAGGTTTATTTTCCCGCTCTTTTCCCTAACTTCCTTAGCAAAACGTTTGACACAAAGCATCATATTTGTATGATTAAAATAAAATAAACACCACGCTTTCAGGTAGTTATGATAAACAAACAATTCACAGTGACACAAAGAAATTTAAAGATATATAGCTTTTTGGACAAAGTAAACACGACCTTTTAAAAAACCTTTTTCAAACACCTTTTTTGCCATTATCGTCGCAGGATGTCCATATATTGTATTTTATAGCTTTTGTACGGGGGCAAAAGTCATTCGAAAACATTGTATATGCGAAATGTACTGGGCCTAAAATACAAATTATATATTCTTATTGATTGTATATATTTGCTGGTATATTATGATAATATTCCATAGCTGATTTTTCAGTTGCATATTTTACCCTCACTGCCATTGTCAGATAAAAAAATGGTTCTTGACCAAACATAGATATAGAGGGAATGCTATGTCATCTTTGCAGTGAATTGAAAATATTGGATTCATGTCAAAGAAAGAAATATTTAAAACCTAACAATATCGGGGCTACGATCAACTGATAAAACCAGCTTAAAAACACACATTATTAGCGAAACTTTATCTTTTAAAAGTTTAAACAGTGATAAAAATCTTATGAATAATTCTGAACACCTCTTTCTGTTAGTTCCTTCCGGGTTAAAGGTAACAGAAAACCAAAGTAATTTGTTGCCTCCAGCGCATACAAACTTTTGACAAGGCTAATATTTTCATTTTTTTAAAAAAAAACTTCAGTCAAAACAAATTCTCGTCTCACTAATGTATATTTTATCACTGATTTTCCGCTGCTGATTCATGAGTCATTCTTCCTTTTCAGCCAAGGTTGTTTTTGTTTCGATCTGTTATCTCCTAGTACTCTAAAGTGAAAAACGAAAAATAATTGTTTTTTTTATATATTTATTCCACCGTGCCAGAGAATTTACTGCAAACTGTTTCATCGGGTTAAGCCACTCTTTCATGGCAATGTTGTAAGTTTGCCAATCGGAAATTTGAAGAAATACTAAAATAAATATGTTCTTAATTAACTTGCCATTTTCTCAAACTTATTATCGCCTCAAGAAGAAAACCGTTATGTGGGGAATATAACTATGTTTTCGCTAAAGTACTAAAAGCCAAAAACTTATATTAAAACCTGAAGACCTTTCCATTTTTTCCACTTATGCCATCCAAAAAATTCGTTTTCATATCAGTTTGTTTATCGACAGATAAAATGCCGGAAAATTTGAACACCTTGGTAAATATTGATTAACTTGACAATTTTAATCTCTTAGCTTATACGCTTATGTTCTGGAAAAATTTTCTTAATTTACTTTTCAGAAAAATTGTAAATCAACATCATTGTTAAGAACATAATTAATTTTCTCATTGTTATCCACCAAAAACTAACAACGACAAATATTTTGAATTGTCTATCATAAAATCTGATGTCGCTTTGATTTTCGGTTGTTGCCTTTAGGTCGTTGCTGACGTCATTGTTTACCGTTTGCCACAATAACACATGTCTTTGCGACGACATCATGGAAAATACAAATTGACTAAAGCAATGTAAAAAACTTTTTAATTTTAGCAATTGGTGAAATTTTGAGTTCTCTGGGTGCCATATTGAAGGAAATATTGACTCATAAAAAATGCAAGAATTGTTGGTGGCAAAAGCGCCAGTAAGCCCATGCATTCTTTGTAAAATTCTACCGTCGTCTTGAAACACACATCACACAAACAATATTGGATGTATTGGGCTAACATTTCTTGGGATGTTTTATCGTGTCATGCCCATTCAATGTTCAGAGTTCGCATTATTGTAGGTGATCTGAAGTTGAAGCTGCCCATGCTAATGAGGTATTTTAGATTAGAGAGATCGTTTAAAACGGGTTTGCCTCTTTGTTGGTCAAGCAAGTAATTAATGACGAATTTTAACTAGAATATCGATTTTTTTTTTTTCAAGTGCTCTTCGAGGTGGATTAACTTCCGAGAGAACCTTTTTTCAAAGGGGCTTACTATCAGAAGGAATTTCAAGTTTCAAAACTCGTTATACTTTGAAGAAAATTTAATTTTCGTTGTAAAAATGCTTGGGCTCAAGTTTGGAGGGAACATCGCGTTTCAAAAATGGAAGGGCTTAAATCAGAAATGGGGTTTTTTGCGTGTTAAAACTTTTAGTTGCGTACATGATATTCTTCAAAGTGAAGCAATGTAAACATAACGGTTTGAAGCATGAAATAAGCTTCACAGGTGAGATAATGCACCAGAAATCTCTCAACATACTCTCACGATGTAGAACTCAAAACAATCTCTAAGGGGGTTAAGTTTTATACTCGGAACAAGTGACATCCTGTCGGCTTAAGAGCCTAATCTAAATACAAGACCAAGGGTTTTTATTCTGCGGAAGGGTTTCATTCAGGGCTAAATCTACTTCGAGGGTCTCAATGGAGTCTCGATTAACCAATAGCCGTAAAAAA